CCTCGGCCTCCCAAAGTGCTGGGATTACAGGCTTGAGCCACCGCGCCCGGCCCTCATTTTCTTAATGATAGCTTTTGGTGAGCAGAATATTTTATTTTAACAAAGTACAGTTTATCTTCCCCTTTATGGGTTGTTCTTTTTGTGTTTTATCCAAAAAGTCTCTGCCTACCCAGAGGAAAATATATAACAATATTTTACTCTGTTTGTTTCTAGAAGCCTAACTTTGCATTTTATGTTTGGCCTATGATATATCTCAAGGTTTTGTATATGGTGTGAGGTAGGGGTTGAGATTTACTGCCTCCCACCCCCAAATCTCTCTGGTTGTTCCAGCATCATTTATTAAATGGATTTTCTTTTGCCTAGTTCATTACTGTGGCACCTTGGTTGTACATCAGTTGACCACATACATGTGGATCTACTCCTGACTCTCTTGTGTCCCATTGATCTGTGTATCTGTCTTGATGCCAACATCACACTGTCTTTGAGTGATGCTGCATTTCAGTAAGTCTTGAAATCATACAGTGTGGGTATCCCACCTATGTTCTTCTTTTTCAGGACTATTTTGGCCATCTCAGTTCCTTTGCATGTGCATAGATATTTTAGAGTCAGTCTGTTAATTGCCATAAAACAAAAAGCCCACTGGGATTTTGATTGGGAAGGTGTTGAATTTATGGGTCGTTTGGGGAGAAGTGTTACCTTAACAATACTGAGTTGTCTAAGAAGTACTCAGTGAAACAAATAACAAACACTATTGAGTCTTTCAGTCAGTATATATGTACATCTCTCCTTAAATCAGGTCAGCTCAACTTGAGACCCTCTACAGTACCCTGGAGTTTTCAGTCTTTGTCACCCATTTTTCATTCAATATTTTCCTATTTTTAAAAATTATACTAAGGATTTTAAAATGTTGTAAATGGCATACTTAAATTTTCATTTTCCAGTTCTTGCTAGCATTTACTTATTAGTTCTTTTTTTTTTTTTTTTTTTTTTTTTTTTTTTTT